AGTCTGGGGACGAGTGGTTCTTTTTTTAGATTTACAGCATCACAGAGAAATGAGGACATGGCTTTTTATATGTTCAAAAACACTAATAGTCTGTGTGTATTTTTGGTCTGAAATGGGTTTGAGAGAGGAGAGAGGGAGCAGGTGATGTCACATGATCAGAGGTAATAGAGAGCGGAGACGAGAGGGACCAGTGAGACCAGAGAGAGACCAGTGAGACCAGAGAGAGAGCAGTGAGACCAGAGAGAGACCAGTGAGACCAGAGAGAGACCAGTGAGACCAGAGAAAGAGCAGTGAGACCGGAGAGAGAGCAGTGAGACCAGAGAGAGACCAGTGAGACCAGAGAGAGACCAGTGAGACCGGAGAGAGACCAGTGAGACCAGAGAGAGACCAGTGAGACCAGAGAGAGACCAGTGAGACCAGAGAAAGAGCAGTGAGACCGGAGAGAGACCAGTGAGACCAGAGAGAGACCAGTGAGACCAGAGAGAGACCAGTGAGACCAGAGAGAACAGAGAGACACCAGTGAGAGACCAGAGAGAGACCAGAGAGAGAGACCAGTGACAGACCAGAGAGAGAGAACAGAGAGAGACCAGTGAGACCAGCGAGAGACCAGAGAGAGACCAGTGAGAGACCAGAGACAGACCAGTGAGAGACCAGAGAGAGACCAGTGAGAGACCAGAGAGATACCAGTGAGAGAGCAGAGAGAGACCAGTGAGAGACCAGAAAAAGACCAAAAAAAGAGCAGTGAGAAATCAGAGAGAGACCAGAAAGAGAGCAGCTTGAGACCAAGAGGGACCAGAAAAAGACAAAATAGAGACCAGAGAAAGACCAGAGAGACCAGAGATGGAGACTAGAGAGCGCCCAAAGAGAGACCAGAGAGAAACCGGAGAGGGAGACCTGAGAGAGAAATGAATGACACCATAGTTGTTTGAGAAACCAGAAAGATGGAGTTTACACATGGTATAAACAGTAGTTCATCATCTGCTGTAGACCAGAGCTGAGTCACTGCATGTAAACATTGGCCTCATACCGCCCCCTGCAGGCGGAATGTGGAAGGAGCAAGTACTACAGCGGTGAAGTTTCAGGGAGAATCTGAAACATAAATATAAGATTCTCCTTCAGGACAAATGCATGAATCTGTAGAGTACGGTTTGAGACCAAGACCAGGTGAGATTATTACTCATGTCTCATGGTTACCAGAGTAGAGAGACTAGAGAGACCAGAGGGACCAGAGACTAGAGAGACCAGATACCAAATAGAGACCAGAGATGGATTAGAGAGACTAGAGAGAAACCAGAGAAGGACCAGAGAGAGACCAGAGAGAGACCAGAGAGGGACCAGAGAGAAACCAGAGAGAGACCAGAGAGGGACCAGAGAGAAACCAGAGAGAGACCAGAGAGGGACCAGAGAGAGACCAGAGAGAGACTAGAGAGGGACCAGAGAGAGACCAGAGAGAGACCAGAGAGCAAAAACTCTCTCTCCTTTCTCTCATTCCATCACTTTCTCTCTCCTCCCTCTCTCCTCTCTGTCCTCTTTCTCTCCAGTCTCTCCCCTCCCTCTCTCTCTCTCCTCTCTCTCCAGTCTCCTTTCTCTCTCTTCCCTCTCTCTCTCTCTCCTCCCTATCTCTCTCTCTCTCTCTCTCCTCCCTCTCTCTCTCTCTCTCTCCTCCCTATCTCTCCGCTCTCCCCTCTCTCTCACTCCTCTCTCCAGTCTCCTTTCTCTCTCCTACCCCTCTATCCCTCTCTCTCTTCTCTCCAGTCTCCTTTCTCTCTCCTCCCCCTCTATCCCTCTCTCTCCCCTCTCTCGTCTCTGTTTCCCTCCCAGATCTTAAGTGACAGAGAAACTACAGTGACATGTGTCTTGATACTTGTGGTTTCAAAGTTACGTATCCCAGCTTTAAGTCACGACATCCACAGAAGTATTGACGTCATTCCGGAGCGGAGGTGAGAGGCCGGGAGCTCGGGCGGCAGTGCTGCTCCCACTCAGCTCCACTCTTACCGCAGAGGTCACTGTTTAAATGATGTGGAAGTGAAATGACCAAATAAGGCCAACGGAAGTGACTCATGGTGTGCTTGTGCAGAGAGCAGGAGACTACTATGGATCCTCATGGACAGGAGTGTTGTTTGGACCTGTGTCAGCTTTTAACCACAGGGAAGACTAGAGAGAGACCAGAGCGACCAGAGAGACCAGAGAGACCAGAGAGACCAGAGAGACCAGAGAGACCAGAGAGATCAGAGAGACCAGAGAGATCAGAGAGATCAGAGAGACCAGAGAGACCAGAGAGATCAGAGAGATCAGAGAGATCAGAGAGACCAGAGAGACCAGAGAGATCAGAGAGATCAGAGAGACCAGAGAGACCAGACAGACCAGAGAGATCAGAGAGATCAAAGAGATCAGAGAGACTAGAGAGACTAGAGAGACCAGAGAGACCAGAGAGATCAGAGAGACCAGAGAGACCAGAGAGACCAGAGAGACCAGAGAGACCAGAGAGACCAGAGAGATCAGAGAGACCAAAGAGACCAGAGATCAGAGAGACCAGAGAGACCAGAGAGACCAAAGAGACCAGAGACCAGAGAGACCAGAGAGACTAGAGAGACTAGAGAGACCAGAGAGACCAGAGAGACCAGAGAGACCAGAGAGTCCAGAGAGATCAGAGAGATCAGAGAGACCAAAGAGACCAGAGAGACTAGAGAGACCAGAGAGACCAGAGAGACCAGAGAGACCAGAGAGACCAGAGAGACCAGAGAGACCAGAGAGACCAGAGAGACCAGAGAGATCAGAGAGACCAGAGAGACCAGAGAGATCAGAGAGACCAGAGAGACCAGAGAGACCAGAGAGACCAGAGAGACCAGAGAGATCAGAGAGACCAGAGAGACCAGAGAGATCAGAGAGACCAGAGAGACCAGAGAGATCAGAGAGACCAGAGAGACCAGAGATCAGAGAGACCAGAGAGACTAGAGAGACCAGAGAGACCAGAGAGATCAGAGAGACCAGAGAGACCAGAGAGATCAGAGAGACCAGAGAGACCAGAGAGATCAGAGAGATCAGAGAGACCAGAGAGATCAGAGAGATCAGAGAGATCAGAGAGACCAGAGAGATCAGAGAGATCAGAGAGACCAGAGAGACCAGAGAGACTAGAGAGACCAGAGAGACCAGACAGACCAGAGAGATCAGAGAGATCAAAGAGATCAGAGAGACTAGAGAGACCAGAGAGATCAGAGAGACCAGAGAGACCAGACAGACCAGAGAGATCAGAGAGATCAAAGAGATCAGAGAGACCAGAGAGACCAGAGAGATCAGAGAGATCAAAGAGATCAGAGAGACCAGAGAGACCAGAGAGATCAGAGAGACCAGAGAGACCAAAGAGACCAGAGATCAGAGAGACCAGAGAGACTAGAGAGACCAGAGAGACCAGAGAGAGACTATATATATTTAAATGTCTTTATTACGAAGAATAGCCTCTTGAGATTCATCATCTCGTTTAGTCATCACAAGTAGCAGCAGCGGTTGTCAAATAAATGCAGTTACAGTAAAGTGAAACAAATAAAAAACATAAAAAATTACAGTAAATAAATTCAATAAAATAACAGACAAAAACAAAAAACAATACAAGGACAGAAACATTCACACACACACACACAGAGCTCTCAGAGGTCTTTATAAAGTCTCTTTACTGCTGTCACCTTATTGCACTGCTTACTGCATACTGTGTGCACCATGTGCACTTGTTTATTGTATATAGTAATTTTAATCGTAACAAGTTTATTTAAATATTTTTAACTTAGAAGTGTTGCTGATCTTTGTGTGGCTATTAAAATGTAAGTCTGAGTCCAGTATTACCCCTAGATTTCTGATCTTATTTGAAGGTTTTAGGGAGAGAGACTGTAGATGACAGATGACGCTCTCTCTTTGTTTCTGGGGACCAAAGACAATCATTTCAGTTTTGTCTGCGTTTAGCTGAAGGAAGTTGTTTTGCATCCACTCACTGATCTGTTGGATACAGTGAAGGAGTGAGTCCACTGGTCCATGTTCTCCTGCAGTCAGTGAGACATAGATCTGAGTGTTGTCTGCATAGTTATGATAGGACACTTTGTTTCTGCGTATTAACTGACCTAACGGCAGCATGTAGAGATTGAACAGAAGAGGTCCCAGGATCGACCCCTGTGGGACTCCACAGGTCAGGGCCATATGATCTGAGAGTTTCCAATCTCCACAAAGTACTTCCTGTCTTCAAGGTAAGACCTAAACCAACTTAGGGCGGTGCTAGCGACGCCAACCCATGGGATTTTCCTTTATTCACTGCAAGACACAATAATGCAGACACCGTTCAGTAGTCTGCATTAAAGCTAGGGTACGTAAAATTTCAAACAAAAAAAAGGACCTGGCTCATTTCGCTTCTTAGTCACTAGTTTTTACTCTCTAGACTTTGGTCTCTAGTCTCTGGTCTCTCTCTGGTCTCTCTCTCTGGTCTCTCTCTGGTCTCTCTCTGGTCTCTCTCTGGTCTCTCTCTGGTCTCTCTCTGGTCTCTCTCTGGTCTCTCTCTGGTCTCTCTCTGGTCTCTCTCTGGTCTCTCTCTGGTCTCTCTCTGGTCTCTCTCTGGTCTCTCTCTGGTCTCTCTCTGGTCTCTCTCTGGTCTCTCTCTGGTCCCTAATATAATCACTCAATTATCCTAAATAATAATAAATCCACACAACACAATATTTTCAAATTTGTGTAAAATATGAATATAGAAACGCTTTGACTCTCCTCTCTTTCTCCTCTCTCCTTTCTCTCCTAGCTCTCCTCCTCTCTCTCCTCTTTCTCCTCTCTCCTTTCTCTCCTCTCTCTCCTCCTATCTCTCCTCTCCTCCACACAATTATTCTAAATACATAAAAATAAAAGGACACACAATATACTCAAACTTGTGTATAAATCTCTCTCCTCTACTCTCTCCTCCTCTCTCTCCTCCCGACAGTCCTCTCTCTTCTCAGCTCTCCACTCTTCTTTCAATCAAGCATCGATGGTTAGGCAGCGTCACATGGTCCTGGTCCCTTCATGGTAGAAGACATCTGCTTTTTGAAAACACACTGGTTCTTGTCTTTCTTCCAGCTCAGGTTTAAGTGGCCCAGATGGTTCGCCTTCAACCGTTCCTGCAGCTGTAGAAAAGAATAAAACCTTAATATGACATCTGTCAGGAGGGGGGAAACCGGAGCACCTGGAGGAAACCCAGCTAGACCATCATAATTAAACTGGTCTCTCTGGTTTTTCATGGTCTCTGGTCTTTTCTACTATGTGTTAGATCTATTTTGACCATATTTTGATCTTAAAAGCCCAGAAGGACACTCACCTGGTGCAGTATTTGGGGACTGAGGGAGTTCAGATCCACAGCCGCCGACATTTTGAGTTTCACCACAGTCTTTTTAGTTTTCAATTCTGAAAAATAAACCATAGATATATCAGCTTGTTCTGATCATGGTTATGCTCATGGTTCTGCTCATGGTTCTGCTGATGGTTGTGTTTCAGTCTGTGGTAGTGAAGCAGATTTCAACTTTTTAATTCATATTTTTCACCACTTCTAGACATCTCAAAGGACAGAGAGACCCGAGAGAGACTAGAGTGAGAGACCAGAGAGAGACCAGAGAGAGACCAAAAGGAGACTTGAGAGAGACCAGAAATAGACCAGAGAGAGACCAGAAATAGACCAGAGAGAGACCAGAGAGAGACCAGAAAGAGACAAAAGAGAGACCAAAGAGAGACCAAAGAGGGACCAGAAAGAGACCAGCTGCTTCCTTATGCCCCTCTCGCTCTGTTTTTAACATGGTAAAAGCTCAGAATGTGTTTAACCTCTTAAGGATCACCCTCCCTGTACAGGGAGGATTCAGTTATTTTTCATTTAACAGCATCAGTATTAGAATTCACTTGTGTCAATATAGTCAAGCTATATCTCTTTTGAAAGCTTATTCCCACCTCTATACACGTATTATGTTCAAATAAACATGAAATATAACCAAAAGTAAGAATAAGTACTCAAACTGTATATATGTTTAAAATATATATTGTCGTTTCTTACCTTGTCATGCTAATATTCTGGGGCAAATCACGTCTAATCCACACATGTGTGCATTTGTTTTGTTCGTTACGGTCTAGAGAATAATTATATCCAGTTGTTTTTTCTTCAAAGTCATCCTTATAGTAGATATCCACTTGCAACAACATATTTGAGTATTGAAAGTTGCACAAACAAAAACAAAACCTGTTCTTTGCGCACTGTATGAAGAGGACATTTTACTGTTTAGCTAGCGTCACTGGGTATGTTCGTCTTCCTCTCAGTCTTCCCTTCAAAACAAGCCCATTCCCGGACTTTTCAGTGCTATGGTTTGGAAGGTAGAGTAAGTTGAGTAAAACAAGCGCACCTAGATTTAGCGCTCCATTCACATAGATATCTGTGCGTCACGACAGCATTGTCTTGACTACCATTGGCCAATTTGGATGTCAATCAAATCATCTTGTAGCCAATAATCTCAGGTTTCAGGCGATGTGTCGGACTTCTAGCTTCCTCCCACTGTTCCCGTCATATTTGAATGCGTAAAGAGGAAGACGGAGCCTTTTTCACGGAGAACACGCGCTATAACTATATAAATAATAGCTTTTCTGCAAACATTTCAATATCTGGAAAAAATGCTATTTATAGCAAGAGTAATAGCCAAAAAATTATATAAATGGATTTTTGGTGTAAAAACATTGATAATTTGCATGTAAAACACTTTTGCACAGTTGGCACAAAAATGGACCACTTGTGCCGAATGTGCCCATTAGTTACAAAAAAGCCCCCAGCTTCAAAATAGTTCCACCTAAAGGTCTAAAATTTCATACAGGTGTTTCCAACACCACAAACATCTGCTCTGGTGAGTTTGAACATCATACCATAAAGTATGTCTTCAGAAGAACCTTTTGAAATTGCCTTTTTTGATTCGAGACAAAAAAAAACTAACTTTGACTCATGTTTGAGAAGCTGTAGTGCAGACTGTGTCCTTCCTAACAAACTGTAACATACATTTTCAGAAACTAGAAGGTGTTACCTTTCAAATGAGGCCTCATAACACAAAATCAGACACAAGATGTCCACACAAGCATTTCCATTTGGGTATCATAGTTCGAGAAGGAGCAGGCGAAATTAGGTGATCCTTAAAGGGTTAAATCCAGTAGAATAAAACAAACTATAAACTTTTCTACCTCCGTGGCAGACGAAGCTCTTCTTCAGTCCACAGTCCGCGCTCTCCCATCGGCCGCTCGCTCTCAGACTCGCACACTTCTCCGTCTGTGGATTCACCTCTGACTCCCAGCTTCTGAACGGGGAGTTGCTTCCATCGGACCAGCCCCAGTTGTCCCGGGACAAACCGATCCAACAAGGAGAGCTACGCACAGGGAAGGTCTGCAGGAACAGTGCATGCTGGTCCGGCCCGCTCACTAGGTCTGTGTAGTGTTTCCTGCAGTACTGCTGAGCCGCCAACCAGGTCTCAGACTGAGAGACCATCACAGGACTGCTGGAGGCCTCTGTCGGACACATTCACAATTCACAGAAGACAAACTTTACGATACAGGCCCTGCTCTCTGATATGCAGAGAACGGATGAAGAGAGAGTGACGAAGACAGTGATGAATAGTTGAGTGGTAGTAAACTGAGAGGTCGGCCAAGGTCTGGATGGAATGATGAGAAGAGAGTGGTGAGTGTGAGGTTTGACAGTGGAGGAAGCCAGAGCTCTCCCCCATGGACTGCCATCTCACCGTGTTGGGGGAGTTAAAGGACTCGGCTGATCCTGGGAGCTATATATCCTGAGGCTTTATGCCCCTGGTCGGGTCTCCCATAAAAACAGGTCTTAGGTGACGAGACGTGACGTTGCCTGGTACGGCGCAGTATACTTGGAAGGACTGGGTGGGAGTCAATACAACATAGCATAGAAGGAGGTTGAGATCACCTCCACACACAGCTTGGGCTCTGAACCCAACTCTTTGAGAGTGGTTGGACGCTCCACTTTTCTGGTGTTTCTCGCGGGGAGAGGTGGTGTGCGGGGCTTGCCATACTTAATGAATAACTGAACCCGAGCGGTGTTCAGTTGTTGGACTTGTGTGAGTCACAGTTTGTCCTTCATGAACACCATGGACACATCAAGATACACACATGAAAACCATCCCGCGCCTCAGGAGGAGGAAGCAGTTCTTTGCCAACACCGTATACGGTGCGGGTGGAGAACTGCTGACACCACGACTGGAGATATTGTCGGGCGGTGGAAGGAATACTTTGAGTTCTCCTCAATCCCCCCTCCTGTTCCTGAGGCAGATGCTGAGGATGTTGGGGCGGATGCTTCCATCTCCCTGAAGTCACCAAGGGGGTGTGCAGCCTCCTTAAGGCTCCGGGAGTGGATGAGATCCGTCCTGACTCTAAAGTCTCTGGATGTTGTAGGTCTGTCTCTGACACGTATCTGCAGCCTCCCGGTAAGGGCTACTCCAAGGTACTGGAGAGACTCAGTGGAATCTCGGATTCAGGAGCAGTGTGGTTTTAGTCCCTGATGCGGAACACTGGACCAGCTCGATACACTCCATCGGATACTGGAGGGATTTGGCCCAAACTGTCCACTAATAAAAACTTGTATATTCTAGTGCAGAAATATATATTTGTATGTTTACATCCTGTTAGCAGCATGACGCTCTGGGACACAGTGACAGTGACTCAAGAGGTTCTGTATGGAACATAGTGACATTATTCAGCCTATTGCACAAATAAATAAAGTGACTTCTTCCTGTAGTCAGCCACTCTCTCACATGGTTCTCAGCTGTAGACAGAAACATGAGTCTCACCATCGTAGCAGATGAAACAGTTTTTAGAAAGACCACAGCGTTCATCGTTCCAGGTATCTTCAACATAAGTCTCCACACAGTTTTCAGATCCTCTAGTATTGCTGGGTTCCCTGGCCGCCCACTGAGCTTCTCCTTCGTTGTACTGGAATGCGCCCTGAGACCAGTGCCACACCGTGGGGCGCTCACTGGTCCGATGGAGTCCGGTCCAAAGGTCTGTGAGTCCATTGGCAGCGGTCCTCAGTCTCAGCAGGTCCTTCATGTCCCTCACAGAGGCCAGGTCTGTGTAGTGCAGTCTGCAGTGACTCTGAGCATCCAACCAGGACATGGGCTCCAGGACGGGGTGATACACAAGCTCCAGAGACACACAGCAACACAACTGACCTGCCACATACACACAAACACAAACACAATAGTAATGGAAGTGAGCAGTCTTTGAGCCTAATGTTGCACTGTCCCTTTCAAATAAAGAAAAAACTAAACTAAACAAACTACTGTATTATTAACTACAGATTCTTATATCGCCGTGCTTCACACAAGGTTCTGGGTCTAATCCCTATAGCAGATGATTTTCAGAAGGCGGGGCCTTGTAAAAAAATACTTATTTGTGATTGGATAAACCACTTGTCTGTTATCTTGAAAGACATGCTCCTTCAACCACTCACATCGAAGCACACGACTCCCATGGGCCCAAAACCCGCGAGAATGCTCAAAAAAAAACACAACCAGAATTACTTTTTGGCTAAAAACGTAATGTAATCAACTTGGGCTAACATGATTATGTTTATTGTCTTTATGTTTATTTATTATCTACAAATCTCTTGGAAAAAAGTAGTCAGGAAACCACCCAACCTGGCAACCCCGCTGCTTAGTGTTGTAAACAGGAACACTTAAACCAGTACTTAAACCACACTTTACACAAACATTTGACTCTTAAAACTCACATATAACAACATGGAACCATCAACATCTCTCTCATATTGCATCAAAGGTGACGTCCGTGTCTTAATTTGTTCGTATTTAAACTTTTTTTAGATTCACGGATCATCCTGGATTGCTCTCGCTGCCGCTTGAGAAGGCGGTGCAAACCCGACATAACAACGGCGATTCTGGATTGGCCGATTATTTTTTGATCTCATGAAGGAGTCTGCTATGCACTTGATCCCAGACCCTTGTGTGTGAAGCAAAACGCCTCTGGTGGAGCATGGCGGAACTACAAGGGTCTGGCAGAGTCAGGCCAGTCTCCAGTAGGTTAGACTGAAGCAGCTGCAGCACAGGGACACTCACATCCTGTTCACTAAATCCCCACAGAATCGACCTTTATGACAGCTGTAGGTTCTCTGTCAGGTTCTCTGTCAGGTTCTCTGTCAGGTTCTCTGTCAGGTTCTCTGTCAGGTTCTCTGTCAGCTGATGTTGAGCTGTTTTTAGCTGTGAGTCAATCTAGGCCAAATGTGGCCTCCTGCTGGGACTCTGAGGAGCACAGGGACTGGCCTCCTGCTGGGACTCTGAGGAGCACAGGGACTGGCCTCCTGCTGGGACTGTTTCTGCAACATCTGAAGGATGTTCTCTGGATTCTCTGCCCTCTTTTGAATGCACTGTGATTATTCATGATTTTAAAGAGTTTTGTGATTGTTTCTTTCTTGTTTTGTTCACTTTGAGTCGTGTTTATGAACTGTGCTATATAAATAAACTTGCCTTGCCTTGCGTATATCGTCACCTGGAAATGTTAAATTTGCAAAGTCTATGAGAGCCAGACGCATGTTTTGGAGAAGGTTCATGAAATCCAGACGTGATAGATCAAAAACAACAAGACTTGTTTTGTGTGTTTTGGCTGAGCCCTGAGGGCCACAGGCTCAGACCTACAGAGCTGAGACATCACTAATATTACGCAATCACACTCAAATCACTCGACAAATATGAGCTCTTTAGCGCCACCTGTTGGAAAGTAATAGGGCACTAGTGCTCAGATCGGCCTGAAAATCACTGAGTGTAATCTCTAAACCGAGTTGTTGTAAGTCCCACACCTGACCACTGGGGGCGCCCTGAGCCGAAATGAGTTCATAAATACAGCGTATGACCTTGAACACAGCGATATGCAGCACACAACTGTGAGTGCAACAGCGTCACCTACAGGCAGTTCAAGGTATTGTGTTTGTGAATTCTATCTAGGCCCAGGTTCTTCATCACAGAGACTTCTACCATGTAATTTCTCCACAGCAGCAACAATCTGTCAATCACAGCACCACACTGCCCTCTCCTGGCAGCATCAGGCACTGCCCGCATCACATTCATATCGCGCAGAAGCTCTCGTTCTCTTTCTCCCTTCTTCTATAGCTCCCACCACCAGGGTCAAGGCCCCGGGGGGTTTCATCTCATAATCTCGTTCCCCTTCTGCCTCCTCACAGTCCTCTGTCGGGGTCTAACAATTCTGTACAGCAACAATAAATATAATCTTGAAAACATAGTCCTCAGAGTCATATGTCATTTATGTAGAGTCAGATTACTACCAACATCATACAATTCTAATAACACCATGTTTTGTGTGTTCCAGTCTCTCCAGATTGAATTGGCCACAGACTCTGTACTGGTGTGAAAATACACAGCTATTATGACTCTAGAGCGCCACCTATGGGAGGCTCCAGACCTGAACTTTTCCGATCCTCACCAAAGTCACACAGTCAATTCTTTACATCCATACGAGCAAAATAGTAGGTAGGTAAGTAAGTGGAGTGCACTGACCACTATATTGGAGAAACCAAACAAACTCTACAGAAACGACTTTACCAACATCGTAGAGAAAACTCTAGTGGGCCACAGTTGGCTGTTCATCTCCACCTCAAGGCCTCCAACCACACGGTGGATGACACAGAGGTTAAAATTCTGGCTCAGGAGAAGAATTGGTTTGAGAGAGGGGTGAAAGAAGCCATTTTTGTGAAGAAACAAAAACCTTCTCTTAACAGAGGAGGAGGGTTAAGATTTGTTTTGCCTCGCATCTATGACGACATCCTAAAAACAACGCCCTAACTTGGGACAAGGTCAGTGACATGCAAATGAGTTAGGAGGGGTGAGACCTGCACTCCACTTGAGCATCCCAGCAGACAATAGGTCTGTGACATGCTAAGGAGTTAGGGTCGTTAGCCTCAGCAGGGTCGTTAGACCTGCTCCCTTCTACATCAGACCTTAGATTGTTTATGAGTTAGTATTAGGATTAGGGTGTGGCTGACCACACCCATAGGTTATAAATCTCCAACGCGCGGTCCGAGAATTCATTCCCTGAAGAAGTCCGCTAGTTTGAGGACGAAACGTCGGGAAATCTTGCCAAGAAGTACAGATGATGGGTGAGAAACCTTTCTTTGCTTTGACTAATCCCTGTACGACTGAGGGCTTACACAAACTTATGTAAGTAAGTAATCTTTATTTATATACCGCCTTTCACAGACCAGAGTCACAAAGCAGTTTACAATTGTTATTATTTTTGGGCATTAGTCTCTCCCTCCACACAGAGAGGGTAGCGGGGCCAGTACAGGAGGCATGTTTTTAGTGCTAGGGGAAACCGGAGTACCCGGAGGAAACCTACGCAGACACGGGGAGAACATGGACACGGGGAAACTCCACTCAGAAAGGCCCTGGTCCGGCCGGGATTCGAACCCAGGACCTTCTTGCTGAGAGGCGAGAGTGCTAACCACTCAGCCACTGTGCCGCCAATACACTACAATACTACATTACACAGAGGGTGCATGTCCCACAGGTGACCACTAGGGTCGCACTGAATCCTATTAATGAGCTTTTCCTGCAAATTCCTGTCTGGCTGTCAGACGTCAAGGCTGTCGAAGGCCTAACACCAGAGCCTCGGTCAGTGGGGACTGTCTGGTTCCTAAGTCCATCGTTGGGACAGTCCAGCTTTTCCTTCTATGGAGCTAAACTGTGGAACGCTCCTCCCACTGACCTAAAACTACAGACTTAAACATCTTCGTCAGACGTCTGAAGCTGTGGCTGAAATCGGAGCAACGTTGTTCACATGATTCATAAACTGTATCATGAGTTACTTTGTGTCCTAAAAGCCTTCTATGGACAAGTGTTGAACATTGGCCTGGTCTTGCTCTAACACTGAAGGCAGTGCACCTGGTCTGTACTATGTGACTGCTGTGTCCAAATCCAATGCATTAATACACAGAAGAGACGAATGAAACTCACTCAGCAGCAAAGACACCAGCAACGACTGCTCCATGGTCCTGAAACAAGAGAAGAGTGAGGACTGAACCAGGACCAGACCACGGCTGAACCAGGACCAGACCTGGACTGAACCAGGACCAGACCAGGGCTGAACCAGGACCAGACCTGGACTGAACCAGGACCAGACCAGGGCTGAACCAGGACCAGACCATGGCTGAACCATGTCCAAACCAGGACTGAACCAGGACTAAATGAGGACTAAACCAGAACTGAACCAAGACCAGACCGGGGCTGAACCAGGACTAAACCAGGATAAGACCAGGACAAAATCACGACTATCCATCCATTTTCTTCCCTTTAATCCATTTCTAGGTCAGGGGGGTGGCAGTCAGAGATGCCACCCAAGTCTCATAGCACCAGCCCCTCACTGACCCTCTGCAGGTGGTGAGTCCACAGGAGGACGGCTGCTCTCTGAGTGTGAGCATAGCCTTGATCTTTCAGTGGGGGCTTTGGGCAAAGTGGGGTTAAGTGTCTTGCCCAAGGACACAACGATAGCAGTCATCAGTGGGAGTCGGTGGAGAAGGTGTAGAGGTGGGAATTGAACCCACGACCTTCAGGCCTGAAGGCCAATGCTCTACCAACTGAGCTACTGTCGCCCAAAATCACGACTAAGGCATGACTAAATCATGACTAAATCCTGTCTAAATTAGGTCTAAACCAGGACTAAACTGAGTCTAAACCAAAACAAAACCAGGCTTAAACCAGAACTGAACCAGCACGGAAGAAGTTCTAAACCAGCACTAAACCAAATCAGGACTAAAGTAGGACTAAGGCAGAACTACAGCAGGTCTAAAGCAGGTCTAAAGCAGGTCTAAAGCAAGTCTAAAGCAGGTCTAAAGCGAGTTTAAAGCAGGTCTAAAGCAGGTCTAATGCAGGTCTAAAGCAGGTCTAAAGCAGGTCTAAAGCAGGTCTAAAGCATGACTAAAGCAGGTCTAAAGCAGGACTAAAGCAGGACTAAAGTAGGTCTAAAGCAGGTCTAAAGCATGACTAAAGCAGGTCTAAAGCAGGACTAAAGCAGGTCTAAAGCAGGTCTAAAGCAGGACTAAAGCAGGTCTAAAGCAGGTCTAAAGCAGGACTAAAGCAGGTCTAAAGCAG